CCGAGGTCTTGTATGTCACACACAAGTGACGTACCGAGGTCTTGTATATCACACAGAAGTAACTGTGTATGTATAATCACACATACAAACTGTAACACAGCACTAGGCTACTTGTATGATATGGCGCACAAGGATGTATATTGTATGGTATGTGTAATTGCGCTTTCTCTGCCCTGCTGTCCAGCGTGACTGTGTGGTCTGTGTTGACTGTGTGGTCTGTGTTGAATGTGTAGTTCAGCTTTCTCTGCAATTAGAAAACTTTCGCTCATGTCAACAAATTTGTTATTTGTATGATGCACTGAGAACATACGAGACCTGCGCGTCGTAGATGTGGCTACGAGACATGCAGTAGATTAACAGTAGATCAGCAGTAGATTAACAGCAGTAGATCAGCAGTAGATCGGCAGTAGATCAGCAGTAGATCAGCAGTAGATAAACAGTAGATCAGAAGTAAATCAGCAGTAGAGCAGCAGTAGATCAGCAGTAGATCAGCAGTAGATAAACAGTAGATCAGAAGTAAATCAGCAGTAGAGCAGCAGTAGATCAGCAGTAGATCAGCAGTAGATAAACAGTAGATCAGAAGTAAATCAGCAGTAGAGCAGCAGTAGATCAGCAGTAGATCAGCAGTAGATAAACAGTAGATCAGAAGTAAATCAGCAGTAGAGCAGCAGTAGATCAGCAGTAGATCAGCAGTAGATAAACAGTAGATCAGAAGTAAATCAGCAGTAGAGCAGCAGTAGATCAGCAGTAGATCAGCAGTAGATAAACAGTAGATCAGAAGTAAATCAGCAGTAGAGCAGCAGTAGATCAGCAGTAGATCAGCAGTAGATAAACAGTAGATCAGAAGTAAATCAGCAGTAGAGCAGCAGTAGATCAGCAGTAGATCAGCAGTAGATAAACAGTAGATCAGAAGTAAATCAGCAGTAGAGCAGCAGTAGATCAGCAGTAGATCAGCAGTAGATAAACAGTAGATCAGAAGTAAATCAGCAGTAGAGCAGCAGTAGATCAGCAGTAGATCAGCAGTAGATAAACAGTAGATCAGAAGTAAATCAGCAGTAGAGCAGCAGTAGATCAGCAGTAGATCAGCAGTAGATAAACAGTAGATCAGAAGTAAATCAGCAGTAGAGCAGCAGTAGATCAGCAGTAGATCAGCAGTAGATAAACAGTAGATCAGAAGTAAATCAGCAGTAGAGCAGCAGTAGATCAGCAGTAGATCAGCAGTAGATAAACAGTAGATCAGAAGTAAATCAGCAGTAGAGCAGCAGTAGATCAGCAGTAGATCAGCAGTAGATAAACAGTAGATCAGAAGTAAATCAGCAGTAGAGCAGCAGTAGATCAGCAGTAGATCAGCAGTAGATAAACAGTAGATCAGAAGTAAATCAGCAGTAGAGCAGCAGTAGATCAGCAGTAGATCAGCAGTAGATAAACAGTAGATCAGAAGTAAATCAGCAGTAGAGCAGCAGTAGATCAGCAGTAGATCAGCAGTAGATAAACAGTAGATCAGAAGTAAATCAGCAGTAGAGCAGCAGTAGATCAGCAGTAGATCAGCAGTAGATAAACAGTAGATCAGAAGTAAATCAGCAGTAGAGCAGCAGTAGATCAGCAGTAGATCAGCAGTAGATAAACAGTAGATCAGAAGTAAATCAGCAGTAGAGCAGCAGTAGATCAGCAGTANACGCGTCCTCTTATCCATAATGCTATTCCTACCAGAGTTGTGGGTTAACCCTTTACTGTCATGCCGGCACACGCGTCCTCTTATTCGTACCACACACAGCGCCCTGTATACCACACACAGCGCCCTGTATACCGCACGTAGTTTTAATTGACGTGTCAACGGCCGTCGTAACTCCGACGCCTGAGTTGGAGTTGCAATTCATAATGCTATTCCTACCTAAGTTAAAGTTTGACGGGCAGCCGACAGCTGTCGTTACCTCTAATGAGTTGTGGGTTAAGCCTTTACTGTCATGCCGGCACACGCGTCCTCTTATTCGTAATGCTATTCTTACCAGAGTTGCGGGTTAAGCCTTTACTGCCATGCCGGCACACGCGTCCTCTTATTTATAATGCTATTCCTACCAGAGTTGCGGGTTAAGCCTTTACTGTGTCTCTTATACACATCTAGATGTGTATAAGAGACAGCCCTGCGTGCGTCAGGAGACCACGACGTCGTCACCTGCTGCTGCAGCGCCCGCCTCACGGGCGACCGCCGCCNTTCAATTGATGTTCTTCCGCAAGTTCCGATGGAGGAACAGCAAGAACATCACTTCGGGGTGGGGTTGATCGGGGTGAACAACGCCGCTCTCACCCCGAGGGAGGGTAGGGATTTTACTGTGTCAGCTATACGGTCAGCATTTGGATGCAATGGGGGGAATGGGGAGGGGATGGGTTTGGATTGTAGGCAAGAGGAGGAGTCAAGATGAAAAGGGGGAAAATAAACTCGTTTTTAGGATAAGTGTGAAGGTTTTGGTACAAGCCCAGCAGGCTCCCAATTACTGGTTGGAAAATACCCGAAAAAATTCCTATTTTGTTAATTTCCCTCCTTCTTATCCTTGTTCTGAAAGTTAATTATTGATACACGTTATTATAATGCTGTAATTTTTCCCCCGCAGGTGAAGGATCATGGTGACGACGCTAGACCTGCACCAGCTACCGGCAAGATGACATTGCCAACCCCTGGCAGAGTGAAGAAAATGCTTCCAATTTCTAATGGAAGCTTCCAATTTTCACTCATCTTCAAATTTATGGTTTTCTTCAAACTTTTTTGTTACTCGACTGCCTTCCAAAATAACATACGGTTCACTGCTGCCTTGTACAACGCCAGCGTCCACGAGAACGCTGTCGGTAACACCCTTGTGGTCAGTCACGAGATGATGGGGGTGTTCCTTCCTAACCCAAACTATTCTATAAAATACAGAATAGTTGACGGTGACAACCACAACTTCTTTCGTGCCTCCCCAAAAACCGTCGGGAATTTCTGTTTTCTGGAAGTCTACGTCAGGACGGGCAATAGTAGAAACTTGAACAGGGAGAGCAGGAGTCAGTTCCAGCTCAAAGTTCAAGCTCTCCTGCGCAGTTCAGATGGAACAGAAACCGAAATTCCTGGAGCTGAGACCAGAGTTTTGATCAAAATTATAGATGCCAATGATCTGTCACCGTTCTTTTTGGAGAGCGAATACCGAGTGACAGTGAGTGAAGATACTGCGCTTTATTCCTCTATCGCACGGGTAAAAGCTGAAGACCCTGACGAAGGACTCAATGGCGAGGTTTACTACAGTTTCAGCCAACCCACAACCCAGTTCTCAATTCATCCAACGACAGGTGTCGTGTCACTGACCAAACCCTTGCACTATCTCCAGAAGTCTCTTCACAGACTCGAAGTCGTTGCCAAAGACCGTGGGTATAACAGCCCAGCCGCTTTGTTTCCTTCAGAGGCCACCCTAGTAGTAAATGTTGTAGACGTCAACTTGTACCCACCTCAAATTGAAATCATTCGTCTGGCGGAAAGTGTCACCAGTGGGTATCTCGTGGTCCATGCCATCGTTAACGTGATCGACAACGATAAAGGACCTAGTGGTGAGATTCACTCTTTGGAGATCAATGACGGCGATCCAGAAAAAGTATTTCGAATTCAGCCAGGATCTTCGGCTCAGGAATTTAGTTTAGGAACTTTACATCCAATCAGGTGGAGGGATGCGCCGTACGGGTACAACCTAACACTCAAAGCGGTGGACAGAGGTACTCGGCCGCGATTTAGTTACAAGCTCTTCAGCATAGAACCTCCTGCTCTTGTTCAACAGGAAGCTATTTTCAAGGAGGAAGTGTTTTACGTAAACGTGAGCGAATCTGCGCCTCCGGGCAGTCAAGTGGTGCAAGTGAGCCCCTGGGTCCCGGGATCCCAATCCCGCGTGACTTTTTCCATTTCAGCTGGCAACGAAGGCGGGGAATTTGAGCTCGATACGACAACGGGAACCCTCACCACCGCCATGTTTCTTGATGCTGAGACGCGTGACACTTATTCACTAACGATAGATGCCTCAACTGCTGCTCCCTTGCGGCAGCATCAGCAAGCCTCCACAAGGGTCGTCGTGAGGATTCAAGATGCCAACGATAACTCGCCAATGATTGTCGCTCCCCAGGATGTCGTCTTCGTCGACGAAAACCAACAAAAGTCGAGTTTTGTGATCTACGTTCGCGCCCAAGATTATGATTCTGGGAAGAATGCCCTCTTGTCTTATTCCCTAGCTAATGAGGATGACGTACCCTTCACCATCGACAGTTTTTCGGGAGAACTGCGCACCACTCGCCCTCTCGATTACGAAACTGAGAGGCGATCGTGGCGGCTAGTAGTTAGGGCCTCTGACTGGGGCGAACCTTACCGGAGACAAACCGAGAAGATCATAACTGTCAAAGTCGTCGACGTCAATGACAATCGGCCTCAGTTTGAGCAAGTCGACTGCTCTGGCTCCATCGCTAGATCGACTCCCATCGGAACAGAAATAATGAACGCAACGGCGGTTGACTTCGACTCGGGCAACATCATCAGCTACCGCATCGTAGGCGGCAACAATGACAGGCTGTTCAACCTCGAGCCCCACACTGGCGTCTTAAGCTTGGCTTCTGATCTGCACGACGTCGTGTCGTCAAGAAGGTTATTGAACGTTACTGCCACCGATGGCCAGCACTTCTCAGACATCCTAACTATCAGTTTACATTTCGAACCTCACGTTTCCCACACTTCATCCAACAAATGGGTGTCGCTCAAGTGCAAGGAGGCGGGACTTTTCAAACAGCTGCAATTTCAGCTCGCTAAATCTACTGCAAGCAACGCAGTGATCGACGAACGAAAGCCGTCTTTGAGTCCACCATTGACCACGAATTTCCATACACCTCACATTTCAGAAGTGCCGTCTGAGGTGAGGATACGTGAAAACAGTGAACTAGGAACTGTGGTGCTGAAGATTCAAGCCCGTGATCCTGACTTTGGCTATGACGGGGACATCGTTTACGCCATCAGTGGTGGTAACGTCGAATCTGTATTTCAAATCGGCGCCGCGTCAGGAGAAATTACAGTTGTGGGTCACCTGGACCGTGAACGCGAACCGAGTTACACGCTCAATGTGACAGCTTACGATCAGGGATACCCGAGACGTTCCGCATCTCAGTCTGTATTCATCACTTTAGTTGACGAGAACGACAACGATCCTGAATTCGATAAGTCATCGTACCGATTTTTCCTGCCTGAAAGTGTGGCTATCGGCACCGGCGTTCGCCAGCTTTTGGCTCATGATCCAGACTCGGGCGCGTTTGGACTTGTTAGATACTCACTCGCTACGGACACCCAAGACTTCGTGTTGCATTCCGAGACGGGGCTGCTGACGGTGGCTCAGGATTTAGATTATGAGCGACAAAACTCGTACGAACTTCGCATAGTTGCTCAGGACGGCGGGTCAAGGTCCACGCACACGTACGTTACAGTGGAAATCGTCAACATAAACGACTGCCCTCCTGAGTTCTCCGAGAAAGGCGCTGCTGAGGTCAGAGTTCCTGAAGACTTGCCTGTTGGTTCCTTGGTGACGCTCATCACTGCGAGGGATGCGGACTCCACTAACCTCAGGTGAGATCAACGTCCTGTAATTTTAAGCTGGCCATTACTTCATAACTAAGGTCACGATTGTTCGTTTCCCTCAACTAAACATCTGCTGTTAATCCAAATCAATGTACCGTTACTTTAATTTTATAACCACGAATTCTACCGATTTATTTATTTGCTCAGGGTTGATATTTATTAACTGAAAGCCTGCCTTTTGCTATCTGATATTTACGTGATAGTCAAAGCTTCCGTTGTTCATGGCAATATTAGAGCGTGTCTTGCACAGCTTGCAACTTGGAATGAACTCTGGCTCGTTACGATGTAAAAATGTAGTTTTTGCTCCTTCTGACTCGACTGCCATGGAAACATTAGATTAGAATAGAATACAGAATGTATAAGAATCGATATAGGATATCGCACTGGCAGAGAGGGAAGCCAAAGATGTTCGATAAACACAATAAGAGATGATTAAAGTGATACAATTCAAAAGCGTACTGTCTTGTGCCGAATGCAACTTGCAGGCAATTGTCTTGAATTTATTGAAATTAGGTTCCGAAACTGGGGCTTAAAACTCTTTTAGAAGGCAACACTTCCACCGAAACTGGGGCTTATAACCCTTTTAGAAGGTAATACGACATTTCTTGGAGGTTATGGATGGTCGCTTAATGGCACGGGCATATTTATCAATGAAGACGATATTTGTAACAGACTTAACGCGCTCATTGGGTCCAGCTATATGTACGGGCTACATTTGGCTAGGTTATAAACTTTCTGGTAGTGCAGCTTTATAAAAGCTCTGCGCGTTACCCATCATTTAAACAATTATTTACTCAGCATTTAAATTTACCCCAAATCATTGGCCCAAACCATTCAACTAAGGCCCGTAAATTTTCAACGTGTGCCCTCAGGTACACGTGGGAGGGCCCGCACGAGGGCACGTTCTCCCTGGACCAGGAGACGGGGGCCCTTCGTCTCGACGCGCCGCTGGACTACGAAGGACGTCGCGTCTACAACGTCTCCGTCAGGGCCTCTGACGACGGCAGTCCGCCTCTGTCAGCCGTCACACGTCTCCTCGTCGTCGTGAGTGGCAGCGGGGCTGACGGTGGTGTGGTTTGGACTGATGTTGCACCTCTCGACAGCGCCGTTACTTACCGGCTGGTGGGGAGTGAAGGACTCGACGCCTTCTACGTCAACCACTTGGGTGAGGCGGGTGGCTCTGGGTGAGAGTGGCGGCCCTAAGAGAGGCTGGCCGTTTTCATGAATTATATTATAGGAATTATATGGTAGGAATTATATTATAGGCATTTGGTCAACACCCGCGACAATAAATGGACCATCATGTGTCATTCTTTCTTTCATGTCTTCATATGTGAGGAAGCCTTGTAAATGAATGTGATGATACTCTTAACATCCCAACATATTCATTTCATAGGAATGTATTAGATTCAGTTCTTCAGTCCTGTTCTGACGTTGTATTTTCCATTGGGACAACAATTGCAAAGTATATCCTGTTAAGAACTACATCGTCGATGTCTGCAACTACTGAACTCTCGTGTTAATTGCTTCACTCGAAATAATACATTAATATATACTAATCATTAATATCACTAATCAATAATCTAATCATTTATATTCCAATCAATAGTATTAAGCAGTGAAATAGAACCAAACAACATGCTATAATACTATTATACAACTGATAAAATTCTACTCAACCATAGGCGAGATCTATATAACTTTAATCTACCGTAGGCGAGATCTATATAGCACTCATCTACCGCAGGCGAGATCTACTCGTCTGCTCTACTGGACCGCGAGACGAAGTCGTCTTATTGGCTCACCGTCCGCGCTCAGGACGCCGGTACCGTACCGCGCTACAGCACGCTACACGTGAGTTGCCAGGCTACACGTGAGTTGCCAGGCTACACGTGAGTTGCCAGGCTACACGTGAGTTGCCAGGCTACACGTGAGTTGCCAGGCTACACGTGAGTTGCCAGGCTACACGTGAGTTGCCAGGCTACACGTGAGTTGCCAGGCTACACGTGAGTTGCCAGGCTACACGTGAGTTGCCAGGCTACACGTGAGTTGCCAGGCTACACGTGAGTTGCCAGGCTACACGTGAGTTGCCAGGCTACACGTGAGTTGCCAGGCTACACGTGAGTTGCCAGGCTACACGTGAGTTGCCAGGCTACACGTGAGTTGCCAGGCTACACGTGAGTTGCCAGGCTACACGTGAGTTGCCAGGCTACACGTGAGTTGCCAGGCTACANTCATCATCCTGCTTCATAGATGTGTATAAGAGACAGTCTTCACCCTGACCGGGGGCAACCCGCAGTCCCTGTTCTCCCTGCACCCCCACACCGGTCAGGGGGGCTACACACACTCAAATGAGACGTTGTTGTCCAAATACCCATGCACTATTTGCCCTTGTGTGCATCATTCTAACCCAGTTTGGATTGTAGAAGGGCTTATCAGCGCTACAAGGAGAAAGAGTGTATTTATTTCGACTCTACGACTCATTTATATGCACATGAAAAGCTTTCGTCAGAATGTTAAGCTATTGTCAAACTGTGCAGCCATCGTATAATTCCTCTAGACTTCTTAGGAACGCAGACGTTGGCCACAAATTTAACTCATAAACTAGCAATTATACTAACTTGAACATACACAGAAGCGCTTAGCTTCAGAGATATGAAGTCGCAGACCTGCAGAGCGCGCTAGAAACACCACAAGCCACGCCAGTTCCGCGACGGCTTAACCCTCTACCGTAATATGTCAGTATGTCACTCTCCGGGAACATAACTTTAAACTTAAATTATACGTAAACTATTAAGTGTAGCAACCTGAGGACGTTTGTATGCAACAGAGAACATTTTAAAGTTGTCGTACGTGGCGGCAACCATCAATGCAAGTCATTTTGCGCCCACTAGAACCTATCCTTTTTGGGAAGAAGGCGCGTGACAATATTGCTCCGGTTACTCGTGTCAGGCGGTAGAGGGTTAAAGCCATAGCGCCGTATGTCGGCATGTCGGCAGACACGTACTGCTGCTTTAGCCAGTATAGTCTTCATGTAGACTACACATCAGCCTGCCTCCACATTTACCCCACTTACCCCCCCTTGCTGCAGCCAGTGACCGCTCCAGCGTCACTTACCCACCTCCCTACCTTGTTGCCGCCAATGAGGTTAGGTTAGGCTCGGCGAGGTTTGTTTAACACATTATGTGCGGCACGGACCCACCAGCGCTGGCAGATGGCCTAAAAACGACCAAGTCCGCGGACAAAAAAGACCTTTTATTCAATAAGTACTAGTATATTTGTAGGTTCTGGTGCAAAAATTGAATTTTTATTTCTTTTCTGTACATTTTTAAATTTAAAGAAGTAGAACTGCCATCATAAATTTTTATCGACAAACACAATTGAAAAAAAACTAAATTGTGGAATTTGTCGGGAAAAAAGACGCTGCAACCCACCTGTGGTTCGTTTCTTTCTTAACGTCTTGAGTGGAGAGTCGGGGTAAGTGTGGAGGTAATCCATTGGTGCATAGGTGTAGCCTCCATGAAGACTTACTGAAGTGAGTAGTGGCTGCGGACTTACGGTGCCATGGCTTCATAGGCTACGGCGTCCTATGTCGTGCTAGACAATGGCCAGGAATATTCACTAAAGTGTAAAGTGTGTGTTATTCACGAAAGTGTGAAGACCTTAGCCCGCACCTCTTCTTCAATCCCGCCTGCCATAGCCATTATGTTCCTGAGCAGGCGAGATTCGTACAACGGAGCGTCGCCTGGACCGCGAGCAGCAGGCGACCCACGTCCTCGAGGTGACCATCTCTGACGGTCCCTGGAACACGTCGAGCCTCTCGTCCAAGAACTCGACGAGATGGTTCAGGGTGCACCCAACAACGGGGGACATCTTCTCCACCCTCCCCCTGCAACCCCACCACACCTACGAGCTAACAGTGAGTGTCCGTGCTCATTTATTAAGCGTTACCTGAGGATCAGGATACGTGACTAAGGATAAGGATAAGTAAGAAACATCTGTCTAGATAACATGTTTTGATATATACGGGGCTGTTAAACATGAGAGTTACGATAAAGAGGTATAAGCTACGGCGTTGACCGTAAGGTCGGAGAACTCAACCGACTCGTTACATCGCGGAGCGCTTATCAACTACTGCGAGGGCTCTTACTAAGGTTCCCAGCCCTTATATAGATTTCGCCTTCCGCCCACTACTAAGGTCTTGAATTTATGATCTATCACGTGATATCTTCCAGATGCTGACTCATGTCTAGTACTTTTCCATCAATCTCTATCCGGTCAAGTGAATATTACGTCCCAATTACATATGATCTAATCTTATAATATAATTATAATTAATGCAATGAGACGCCAGATTGACGCCGGACATGAGGCGTGGTAGTGACACCTACGAGCTGTGAGGACAGACAGTAGCCCGTCTACGGCCCCTAGCTCTTTATTTAGACAGACAGTAGCCCGTCTACGGCTCCTAGCTCTTTATTTAGACAGACAGGAGCCCGTCTACGGCTCCTAGCTCTTTAGTGAGACAGACAGTAGCCCGTCTACGGCATCTAGCTCTTTATTTAGACAGACAGTAGCCCGTCTACGGCCCCTAGCTCATTATTTAGACAGACAGTAGCCCGTCTACGGCCCCTAGCTCTTTATTTAGACAGACAGTAGCCGGTGTACGGCCCCTATCTCTTTATTTAGACGACAGGAGCCCGTCTACGGCCCCTAGTCCTTTATTTAGACAGACAGTAGCCCGTCTACGGCCCCTAGTCCTCTTTCCTACGGCCCCTAGTCCTTTATTTAGACAGACAGTAGCCCGTCTACGGCCCCTAGCTCTTTATTTAGACAGACAGTAGCCCGTCTACGGCCCCTAGCCCTCTTTCCTACGGCCCCTAGTCCCTGTCTCTTATACACATCTAGATGTGTATAAGAGACAGATGCTATTCCTACCAGAGTTGTGGGTTAAGCCTTTACTGCCATGCCGGCACACGCGTCCTCTTATTCATAATGCTATTCCTACCAGAGTTGTGGGTTAAGCCTTTACTGCCATGTATTTGCATGTTATTCGTGCGTCTGCGCACGTCGCCTGCACGTCTGGACGTTACGTCGCCTGCACGTCTGGACGTTACGTCGCCTGCACGTCTGGACGTTACGTCGCCTGCACATCTGGACGTTACGTCGCCTGCTCGTCTGGACGTTACGTCGCCTGCTCGTCTGGACGTTACGTCGCCTGCACGTCTACGAGGCCGCGGACGCCTACAGCCTCACCATCGCCGTCACCGACGCCGTCCACACCGCCACCGTCATGGTGGGTAGTGTGGGGTGTGTAGTGTGTGGTGTAGTGTGTAGGGTGGGGTGTGGTGTGATGTGTATGGAGTGTATGGTGTTTAGTGAGTGATTTGCAGTGTATGGTGGAGTGTGATGCGTAGTGTGTGGTGTGTGGAGTGTGGTTTGTAGTGTGTGATGTGTGGTTTGTAGTGTGTGGTGTGTAGTGTGTGGTGTGTGGGCCTGTGTTCGAAATTATTGGTCCGTGTCGGCCGACGCCGCCCCACGCATGAACGCTCCCAGAGGCTCGGGTCTGCCTCGATGGTCTATGGCTAAGCGGTAGTTGGTCTACAGGTCTGCCCTCTGCCATGTTGAGGCTGGTCCCTGCCCCTGTAAGTGTTGGCGGGAGGGGTCTGTCTGAGGGGTCTCTATCTGTACTGGACTAAGGGTCTGCCCTCCGCCATGTTGAGGCTGGTCCCTGCCTCTGTGATGTAGGCGGGAGGGGTCTGTCTGAGGGGTCTCTCTCTGTACTGGTCTAAGGGTCTGACNGGGTCGTGGATGGCGGTGGTATGAGTTGGGGTCGTGGATGGCGGTGGTATGAGTTGGGGTCGTGGATGGCGGTGGTATGAGTTGGGGTCGTGGATGGCGGTGGTATGAGTTGGGGTCGTGGATGGCGGTGGTATGAGTTGGGGTCGTGGATGGCGGTGGTATGAGTTGGGGTCGTGGATGGCGGTGGTATGAGTTGGGGTCGTGGATGGCGGTGGTATGAGTTGGGGTCGTGGATGGCGGTGGTATGAGTTGGGGTCGTGGATGGCGGTGGTATGAGTTGGGGTCGTGGATGGCGGTGGTATGAGTTGGGGTCGTGGATGGCGGTGGTATGAGTTGGGGTCGTGGATGGCGGTGGTATGAGTTGGGGTCGTGGATGGCGGTGGTATGAGTTGGGGTCGTGGATGGCGGTGGTATGAGTTGGGGTCGTGGATGGCGGTGGTATGAGTTGGGGTCGTGGATGGCGGTGGTATGAGTTGGGGTCGTGGATGGCGGTGGTATGAGTTGGGGTCGTGGATGGCGGTGGTATGAGTTGGGGTCGTGGATGGCGGTGGTATGAGTTGGGGTCGTGGATGGCGGTGGTATGAGTTGGGGTCGTGGATGGCGGTGGTATGAGTTGGGGTCGTGGATGGCGGTGGTATGAGTTATCCCGACTCCTTCAACCCATTATCCCATTACCCCAACTCCTGCAGGTTGTGGACGCTGCCCTTCAACCCATTACCCCAACTCCTGCAGGTTGTGGACGCTGCCCTTCAACCCATTACCCCAACTCCTGCAGGTTGTGGACGCTGCCCTTCAACCCATTACCCCAACTCCTGCAGGTTGTGGACGCTGCCCTTCAACCCATTACCCCAACTCCTGCAGGTTGTGGACGCTGCCCTTCAACCCATTACCCCAACTCCTGCAGGTTGTGGACGCTGCCCTTCAACCCATTACCACAACTCCTGCAGGTTGTGGACGCTGCCCTTCAACCCATTACCCCGTCTCCTGCAGGTTGTGGACGTTGACGAGAACCAGCACAGTCCGGAGTTCGGGGCGGCGGTGGTGGAGGCTCGTATCGCAGAAGATGCGCCGCCGGACACGCTGCTGGTGGCGGTGCCCGCCATCGACGCTGATATTGCACCTCTCGACAGCGCCGTTACCTACCGGCTGGTGGGGAGTGAAGGACTCGACGCCTTCTACGTCAACCATTTGGGTGAGGCGGGTGGAGTGAGAGGCGGGTGGCTCTGGGTGAGATAACACTCATCTACCGCAGGCGAGATCTATATACCACTCATCTACCGCAGGCGAGATCTACTCGTCTGCTCTACTGGACCGCGAGACGAAGTCGTCCTATTGGCTCACCGTCCGCGCTCAGGACGCCGGTACCGTACCGCGCTACAGCACGCTACACGTGAGTTGCCAGGCTACACGTGAGTTGCCAGGCTACACGTGAGTTGCCAGGCTACACGTGAGTTGCCAGGCTACACGTGAGTTGCCAGGCTACACGTGAGTTGCCAGGCTACACGTGAGTTGCCAGGCTACANAACGCATTGGAACGGGCCATCATAAATAGGGAACAAAGAAAGGTCTGGCGAGCTGGAACTAAAAGGGAACAACACGTCGCCATAAAGACGTCGCTTGTTATGGAGCTGTTCGACACGAACAACTTCATACCGGGCATTTCTGAAGCGAGGACGGTTGGAGGATTGGGAGGATTTGGTGTTTGGCTGTGTCTACGGTCTCTAACCTGTCTCTTATACACATCTAGATGTGTATAAGAGACAGTGACAATATTGCTCCGGGTACTCATGTCAGGCGGTACAGGGTTAAAGCCATAGCGCCGTATGTCCACAGCCACTACTACTCCAGCCAGCGCAGTCTTCACGGAGGCTACACATCAGCCTGCCTCCACATTTACCCCACTTACCCCACCTTGTTGCAGCCAATGATGTTAGGTTAAATCCGGTTAGGTTTGCTCACATATTATGTGCGGCACGGACCCTCCAGCGCTGGCAGATGGCCTAAAAATGGCCAAGTCCGCGGACAAAAAAGACCTATTATTCAATTCATTCTAGTAAATTTATATGTTCTGGTGCAAAAATTGAATTTTCATTTTTTCTGCACATTTTGTAATTTGAAGAGGTTGTACTGCCATCATAATTTTTTGTCGACAAACGCAATTAAAAAAAATAAATTGTGGAATTTGTCGGGAAAAAAGACGCTGCAACCCACCTGTGGTTCGTGTCGCACTTAACGTCTTGAATGGAGAGTCGGGGTAAATATGGAGGTAATCCACTGATGGGGCTTAGCCTCCATGAAGACTTACTGAAGTGAGCGGCGCCATTGCTTCATAGGCTACGGCGCCATGTAACGTGCTAGACAACGGCTAGGAATATCCACTAAAGTGTAAAGTTGAGACTTGGTGGCACCTTTCCCGCACCTCCGTTTCTTCAATTCCGCCTGCCATAACCTTTATGTTCCTGAACAGGCGAGATCCGCACAACGGAGCGTCGTCTGGACCGCGAGCAGCAGGCGACCCACGTTCTCGAGGTGACCATCTCTGACGGTCCCTGGAACACGTCGAGCCTCTCGTCCAGGAACTCGACGAGCCTCTCGTCCACCACCCTCGTCGTCGTCAAGGTGCTCGACGAGAACGACCACGCACCCCAGTTCCTCGAGAGCGTCTACCGCTTCATCGTCCCCCTGCGTCACGGGGAGGGGGCGCCTGGTGGGGGTAAGGAAACCCCCAACGCTGCTGCCCTCACATCGTCTGTGCAGCTGCCGGTGTCTCGGGTGAGTTGAAGTTGGAGTTTGACTCTAGGTTAGACGAGCTCAAAACGAGTCTTAAGTTGAAGATGTCTCTATAAAAGTTTAAGTTGGAAGTAACGCATTTGTTGAAGTTAAAAGCCTTTGATAAGTTGAAACCTTTGTTAATTTATGGTTGAACGTGAAGCGTGTGCATACTTAAATATTATGTTGAAGTCGGAGTTGGAATCGAAGGAGATGTGAAGTAATTGATCAAAATTTTGGGTTGAAGTTGAAGTTAAGTTTGCATACACAGGTGATCGCCTGGGACCGGGATGAGGGGGAGTACGGAACCATCGTGTACCACCTGAGAACCGGTAACTCGTCTGCCTGGTTCAGGGTGCACCCAACAACGGGGGACATCTTCTCCACCCTCCCCCTGCAACCCCACCACACCTACGAGCTACGTAGCGTGAGAAGTGGGAGTTGGAAGTGTTCGGGCCAATCGTGTGACCTAAGATCTGTGTTCTTTTTAAACTATAAACGACTAGTGGAGTTTTGAAGTAGTGGAGTTGTCACCGGCCAGAGCTACTACAAGCCAATCTAAACGTTGGGCCTGTAATTCACAATCAGGATCGAATGCTCACCGCTCATAAGCCGGGCCTATGAGCGGCCTATGAATAATTATTCATAGGCCTATATGAATAATTTCCAGGCTACTGTGCTCATTCATCTGACCTACAATGCCGTTCAACTCTCCTAGTCATCGTCAGTTAAGCCGGTTCAGTGGCTATGGAATATAATCACAACAAAGCACACTTAAAATAGTTTATTGAATCACTTTGTTTGAAATCAGTAAAACATGGTAAAGGGCAAGCATGAATTCCGACTAAAATAGCTAATATGAGAGACGTTCAATTCTATTCATTATTGCACAGCATTAATGCACGTAGATAAGGTTACATTAATTCACATAGGCGAACGATAGCAGGTAAGACTAAATCCTCACGGCACAGCCACGACTCAAGCGTTAAAGCAAAGAATGCAGAGAGTTAACAGAGCTGAGGGGGTTCAGGTATGAACCTCACTGTAGGGCTGGCGGGACACGACCTACCCGACGCCCAGCCGCTCAGACCTGACCTAGTACTACACAGTTTCAACTGCTATAGGTCTGACTCACATGTCACTGGCGCAGCTTCGCCAGACGTAATAAAATAATTTCGCCAGAATGAACAAAAATGCATATGAGAACAAATTATCGTATCAATCCAATAATGAATATTAGTGAACGATGTTCATCGTTCACAGAGTAGTGGAGTGGAGTAGTGGATAAACGACTAGTGGAGACTAGTAGATAACTAGTGGATGACTAGTGGTAGACTAAAGATCTAGTGAAACTGACTAACATAGAGAGCCCACTACACGCTCCTCCCTCACCCCGCCCCCTCCCTCGGGCAGGTCTCTGTGTCTGTAGGGGACCGCAACGAGCATCGGCCGCGGTTCTCGCAGCCCCTGTACAAGGTGGAGGTGCGGGAGAGCGCCCCGCCGGGCACGCGGGTCCTGCTGCTGGCGGCGGAGGACCGAGACCGCGACCAGCACCTGCTCTACGCCATCGTCAACGCCGCGCACGTCAGGTCCCAGGGCCTCTTCACCCTGCACCCCGTCACTGGGGACCTCCTGCTCGCCGCGCCCCTTGACAGGTGGGTGCTGGGGGTGACATGGGTTTTGTTTGTTGATGAAATCGCGGAGGAGTGGGTGGGGTGGTAGAGAGGGGGTGTGGGAGGAGTGGGTAAGGTGGTAGAGAATATTTGGTTTAAATTTTGCTCATCACTTTCTGTTTCATCACATCACTCCCTCATAACCGCCTCATCACACCACGCCCTCATCACACCACGCCCTCATCACATGACACATCTCGTTGACGCACCCTCACCCCCACAGGGAGGTGCAGAAGGAGCACCTGCTGACGCTGCAGGTGCAGGACCGCATCACGCCCCGGCAGCAGGACCTCTGCCGCGTCCTCGTCAGGGTCCTGGACCACAACGACCACGCGCCGCTCTTCCTGCACGCCTCCTACAGCGCCTCCCTCGACCAGGACGCGCCCCTGGGCACCAGCGTCCTCACGGTCACCGCCGTCGACCGGGACCATGGGGCCAACGGGGCCGTGACGTACTCCATGGTGTCGGGTGTGTAGTGAGGGCCCCATGGGGCCGTGACCTACTCCATATTGCTGTATTTCCCCTCAATTTCCCTTTATTTTTCCTCCAATTACCCCTCAACTTCCCCTCAAAATTTCCCTCAAATTTGTCCTCAACTTCCCTCAATTTCTCCCCTCTAATGAAGCCATGTCGCAGCAGGTAACGCTGGGGGGGCGTTCGTGGTGTCTGCAGACGGGGGGCAGATCTCCCTGGCGCGCCCCCTGCCCCCCCACCGCCCCCCGCAGGAGTTCAGGCTGACGGTGAGGGCGGAGGACGGGGGCGCGCCCCCCCGGCACTCCCTCGTCAGCGTCGCCGTCGCCGTGCACATGTCCAGGACCGCGTCTCCCAGGTCCTGCTTCATCATCCTGCTTCATTATCCTGCTTCATCATCCTGCTTCATTATCCTGCTTCATCCTGCTTCATTATCCTGCTTCATC